CTTTAATGAAGGAAAATAATGTGTAGCAATTAAGGTATCAATAGGTTACTTACATTATGTTCTATTTGAAAATTAATCTCAACTTCTTCAACAAAATGTGGTGTAAGAAACACCTAAAATATATTTTGATTTTTAGCATTTAACTATTACAAGAACATAATATATTACCTGAATATTAAAAAATAATAGATAATCAAAACAATTGTGAAATACTTACAGGGTTTACGAGAGAACAAGAACTATCTTTACACACATTTTGATAATCCTATAAATATAAATTAGTATACATTTTGTATGTTGTATTTATTAATTGTATAAAATATTACCTGTAAAAGGCAAAGGTGGACATTAACTAGTTGCAAATTTAAAACCAAGTTATTAAGCTTATTTTTTTTAAATTTGTGACTCCATTAGTTAATTTTTTTTTTAACTTTAAGTTATTTTATAAAATCTGTTCAACTAAGTGTCTAGATGCCATACTTTTCAAGTTATTTAAAACTTTATACTTGTGTAGTATAGCACCTACCTATAAACTTACTTATATTATTTACATTAAGCATTTAGCTGACCAAATATGTTTATAAAGTTTAACAGATTGAAACTGTTACAACTAGAAAAATAAATACAAATAATAAATTACTTACTTCTTGGTCAATATTTTTTTATGGTTTTGCTTTTATTTTTATAACAAATTTATCCATTATTATTATTATTATTATTATTATTATTATAGAATTAATATTTAACACCAATATAGAAAAATTATATAAATTCAAGAATATTAATTATTAATCAATGTAAATTAAAATATTAGAAGCTGTATTATACTTTACTAGTCAGTGGACAGTGATCAACAATCATAGTCATAAGTCATAACTCGTTTACGTAATCTTAAAATAACGAATGGTTGCTCTATTTGTTAAAATAAAAACAGACTGTTGACGACTAATAAATACCTATGGATTTATGATTTATCAGCTTTGATAATAATCAATATTTTTAATGATTTAGAAATTGTTGACATTTTAAAAATAGAAACTTCGACAATTAAATTATCACTGAGAAAGATAGGAATATCTATATCCCTAGAATTCGAGATATTAAACAGTTTTCATGTCATATGACACATATATTTTATTCTATAGCACATAATTATATTGTTCTTGTGGTAAAACTAATTTTACAGATTGTGTACTTAATAATCGAAAAAAAAAATATCTCTTATATAATATATCTCATGTGTATCTTAATTCGTGGTAAAAATTGAACTATGCATATTCAAATTTAAATTAATTAAGAATGTTTATAGTAAGCCGTACGAATGTTCGTTGTCATTTATATTTTATATTGCGTAGTGCGTACCCGTGCATTCTTTTGGGAAAATGTAGAATGGTAACGCTAATTAAAATCAAAAGCTAGTATAGGAGCTGAGTTCCCATGCGTTCCCGTCCAAGTCGAGCACCGATAGATACCATAGATACCTATCACTCTTAACTTAAGAGTGATAGGTATCTAATGGCAAAATTGATCTAATTAAGTTAGTACTTTTCAAAATACTATATGAATAAACAGAATAAAAAATAATAAAGAAAAGATAAACATAAATCTTTACGCAAAATCTATTTTTGACAAAATTAATTTTGACTTTTAGGTTTAACACAAAAAAGATTAATTAAAGGTACTTAAATGTGTACCAAACGTTTAAATTGACATTTTACATATAGTATGAATTTAAATATTGTTTGATACTTTTGAGTTATTTATTATTACTATTTGGTTAGTTTTGTTTTTACATTTTGGTAAAAAATATTTAATTTGTCCGTTAAAAAGCTTGAAAATTAAATTTAATATTTTCCATTAACAACAAATAACTTCAGTATAAAGTCCTGAATTTTATAAATTTTAAGTACATAAGTGGAAGATTTTTTAAAGACACTTGAAGTTCGAGTTCGAACGAAATTAAATATTTATACGATTAAATAATGACTATGGGTTTTTTTTTTAATGTTAACAATTATGAAATTGAAGTTGTTATGTGTATTATAATATTTTATTTGCACAATGATATTTTCAAATACAAAGTTTTCGGCAAAAATAATTCAACTAACCACTTGAGATGTTAATTAACAGTATTATTCATACTCATTTACACTCAAATTTGATACACTTAAAAATCAAATAATACTTAAGTAGCATATTAAACATGAAATAAAAACAAAGAAGACAATTATTATGTAGAGAAGTAAGAAATACTTTTTTAAAGACTCTAAAGCTCGATTTTTAAAAACGTAAATAATAATCTGTTTTGAATATTTCTTTAATTATAAATTAATTTTAACAATAGGTGCATTTATTTACTTTTAAACTCAAATATTTAAAATATTTAAAATTTACAATAATCAAACCATAGTACAATACATGAGTTAATATTTACTAGTGTTCTGAGTTATGATAATTTATATGGTAATACATCAACTTAAATAATAGAAGGTAATGAAAGTCAATATTAAGCTTTAGTGTGAGCTAGATACGTGGATACAACCATTAAATTACTTTCGAGTGAATCATAATTTAGAAATAAATTATTAAAAAATAATATTGCCGTGTATAATTATTAATTAAACAAAAAAAAAAAAATTTGTTAAGTATCGAAAAAAACTACTATAAATAGCTACAGTAAAGACTAAGTCCGTATAAAACTTATGTATTAAATTTGTTCACGAATAATACAGAAAATGTTATTTCCTCGTATAATTTAATCATATTTACTTACACTATATAGATTTTAACGAGAGAATCTTAATAGTATAAAATTATATTGTATTTAGTTATCAAAAATAGATTATTTTTAACTATAGTTTGTCGACTTTTGTCCTTTCTATTATACTACTTAAATAGCACAGTTTTCTCAAGACCATTGTATTAGTCACAATAATGATTATAATATCTACATTATATTTTGTATTCAATTTGAGTTTTGTATGTTGGTCGATTTCAAGTAGAACACTATAAGAACATAATGAGATTTTAATTATTTTATAGCTATTAAGTATAATATAACTATTCGTATATTATTTCCATTTCCATTTACGTTAATTATATGGTTAAATGTTAGCCCAATGAAATAAAATCGTGAAAAACATTTCTGTACATTGGCATGTACTGTTATATTAATATGTAAAACTCAATTAAACAATATTTTTCAATAAGAATTTTTATATTTAAGATTTAAAATTTATTGCAAGATTCGTATTAAGTTTTCCAACCTATTTGGCAAAAAAAAAAAAAAAAAATTACTTACGTGAAAAATTATATTTTTTAGGTGTATTAAATTTTAACTATTTTTCCTCAAAGATTTTTGACAAAGAACTGTAGAAACTGAACATTTTCACGAAATAATATAATGCTATCACTTTCTATGTTGTTACTTTCAAAATATTTCTACTTTCTCTAAACGATATATAGACATTTTATATTTTTATTTTTATAGTTGTTGAAAAAAAAAAAAATTACAGTCATTAAGTGCTTAGTATTTGAATACAAGAACCACATAAACGATATGGTTTAAGACATAATTTAATGCATATCACTGTTCTGAATTATGATTATTTACACGACTATAACATCTCAACTTAAATACGAAGAAGTAATAAAAGTCAATATTAAGCTTTATGGTGAGCTAGAATCTAGGTACATGGACACAACAATTATATTATGTTAGCCGCCAGTAAATCATAACTAACATGAAAATTGTCAAAAAAAAAAAAAAAAAAAAATGCTGTGTATAAACAAAAAGTGACGTGTTGACTGGTCAACAATGTGCTGCTAAACAACTGCAGTAGTGACAAAATGTAGTGTACGTATAAAACTCATGTTTTTGATTTATTAGTTCACGAATAATAAATAAAATATTATTTCCTCGTATCATTAAATCGTGGTTACTTAATACGAGAGAACCTTAATAATAATATATATGATAATATCGTAATAATCTATCAATTATAAATTATTTTTAATTATAGATTGTCAACTTTGATATAATATTTGTTTTAGGTCACAGAGTTTTCTCAAGACTATAGTACTAGTCACAACAATTATATATCTACATTATATTTTGTATGCAATTTGAATTTTGAATGTTGGTTAATTTCAACTAGAAAATAACACGATTTTTTTATTATATAGGTACATAATTTATTGTCATTTACGTTTATCGTATGGTCGATTGTTAGTAATCTAGCCAATGAGTACTATCTAGCCAATGAAATAAAATATGAAAAACGTTTGTGTACATTTGTGCGGGCCGGGAACGGACAATATTAGGCCGTGCGCCCGGTTACCAAAATACTTCGCGCTTAACTTTACTAACACACCGACCGACCTTTGTAAATTTGTGTATATGTGTATAGCACTCAACAGGAGGTGGACAGGTTCGCCGAGCAAATCCTGTGAGTGCTAGTGTGTGGGTGATGTGTGTATGTGTGTGTATATAATATATATGTATGTGTGTAAACTAAAAACTAGGGGACTCAGGTAACTCAATATAAATAAATGGTAACAATAATAATATGAAGTATAAAAACAATACAAGTAAGCAGTAGCTATTAGAGCTACAATACCTATATATTTAATAATAATACAATTATAAAAATAATATAATATAATAAATATAAAAAACAATACAAGTAGCTATTAGAGCTACAATATAAAAAATAGATAATACTCAAAAATTATGCATGCAGGGCCCTTATGGCTAGGCAGAATAAATAGTATGATATATGGCCCTTTTAGCCCAACAATATAATAATAATGGTAATGATAATAATATAACTACGGCCCTTTTGGCCCTACAATATAAAATAATATCAAATATAAAAACAATATAGGTACCTATTAGAGCTATAATATAAATATAATAATAATGATATTTGGCCCTTTTGGCTCAAAAGTATAAAAATTTAATAAATAATATAATTATAATTGTAATAATAAAAACTTACAATTTGTGGAGCGCAGACTGGCCAGCTGGTCCTAAATATGACTATAATAATCAATAAATTTCACACACAACAAATAAAACAAGCAAAATAAATATAAAAACGTATAAAAATATTTAAATATATATATAAAAGGTTGGCGATTAGCGCACACGATATAATAATTAATAATAAAGTTAATAAATAAATAATAATAACAATATGGAAATTAGCACACACGCAATAGAATAAAATAGTATAATAGAAAAAGGCGATTTGCGCAACAAAATATAATAAAAAATAATATGATATAATAACTGTCGTTTGGTCTTTGCGCGACGAACGTATGGCAGAAAATAAAAATTTACGGCGGCCGTGCTAATTAATACGTATCGCACAGCCGACGCAACGGCTACATAATATAACGTGCTGATAAATTTGCATAGTAATTACTAGGGCACGGATTTAAATGCACTTAAAACCATACAAATATGCTCTAAAAAATAGCCAAAAATGCCCTTAAAAAAAATGCATTTTTCTACAAAAATGACCTTAAAAATGAAAATATGACTTTAAAAATGACATATATTTTTTATACAATTTGTAATTAATAAATAAGATTTAATTATTTTTTATTATTTTATTAAAAAAAAAACTGAACATTTGATTGAAGTTGACTCGTATGTATTTTGGTCGTTCTGGAGAAATATTATTCATTCTAAACATACCAAAATACGTATATATTAAAAATTAAATTCTAAGTAATAGCCTATTGTACTTACTAAATTTTGAGAACTGCATTGAACAATAAGATAAAAACTGAATCGAATAATTTTTTTTTTAGATAATATTTTGAATTGGCTAAATTTGTATAGTATATTGAACACATATGCATTAAAAACCAACAAAATGACCCAAAAATGCTAAAAATGAAAAAATATTGAAATATGCAAAAAAAAGTAAAAAAATGCAAAATAAAAATTTCACCTTTGAAGTCTCTGTTACATGAATCAAATTATAAACTTGGAAAGCATTGTCTAGGATTAATAAAAAAATGATGCATTTTGCATTGGAATCCGGGCCCTAGTGATTACCTAAATAATGGCTGGCGAGTGTTTGTGTGTGTGTGTGTGTGTGTGTGTGTGTGTGTGTGTGTGTGTGTGTGTGTGTGTGAGTGTGTGTCGATTGGCTGTTCTCCCATAAACGATAATATTTAGTATTTACATTATGGTGCTTCAACAACATTGTTATGTACTGGTATAAAACCCAATTAAAGAATATTTTTTAATAAGGAATTAAAAATAATATATGTCTAAATCTATAAACATTAATAATTAAATAATTACAATATTAAAAATATTGCGTGAAAAAGAATCGAGTTCACGATCATTGACCTCGGCAAGTTAGTCGCTGTTAATCAATAAGATTATATTTAATATGTATAGATATGTTACATACAAAGTCCGGAATTGTACATTTCGTGATTTGTACAGTGATTTTTGTACACATTGCGAAATGTACAATGTTGCTGTACAAAGTAACTAGATTGTACAAGTTGCGTTATACAATTCGCGATGTGTACAATAACCACTGTACAAATTCCGAAGTGTACAATTGTTGTACAAATCACAAAATTTAAAAACATATTCTAAAAATTACAATATAATAACTGTTATGTTTTAAAAGTATTTTCTTAATAAATATTTCATATTATTACTTATTTTTGTGATTTCTTCAATGATTGTTGTATATTAATATGTAAAGACCTGGTATATCTATTTTTATACAGTATACTAATAACTAATAAGTAATAATATGTAATATTAAAAAAAATACTTTTAAAACATAAAAGTTATTGTATTGTAATTTTTAGAATATGTTTTTAAATTTTGTGATTTGTACAACAATAATTATTGTACACTTCGGAATTTGTATAGTAATTATTGTACACATCGCGAATTGTATAACGCAACTTGTACAATCTAGTTACTTTGTACAGCAAAATAAAATTGTACACTTCGCAATGTGTACAGAAATCACTGTACAAATTGCGAAATGTACTATTCCGGACTTTGTATGTAACATATATATGTTACGCGCAATGTAGACTTTGCGTCTTTGCCCAGTGTTTTTGAGCATATATATTAAAAATACTATTTTTTTCCCATGGAGGGCTGTACTTTGACCGGTCCAAGTTACTTTGCTCATACTAATTGGACATTGTAACTTAAGCTATAAACAATACTTTTCATTTGAATACATTTTTTTTTTTTTTTTTAATGTGTTAAACAGTTTAGAAAGAATATATATATAGTGAGGAGAATAAGTACTGTGTTACATTCAATTTAGTTTTGGAGTTATATACGCACTTTTATATTTATATTTTATAAAGTAATTGGTATGAGAGTATAGAAGCAATGTTTAGACGTAGTGCAAATTTTGGATTAAACGATAATTTAACACCATGATTGTATATCCAATATCAATAATTAATAAATTAAAAACTGAAGAAAACTTAGAAGCGGATAAAAACATCTATGAATAATCTAGGAAATCATTGTGAAGTTGAAGAAACAACATTGATCGAAGGAAAAATAGATCATAGAATAAATAAAATAACTGCTGTAGGAAAAGAGTCAGTTATAAATGTAATAATTCAAGCGTGTTGATTTACATTGTCCAACTTAGACTGGGCAATTCTGCACAGCCCGGACAAAATATAATTTTGCCTACATTGCCAATCATAATGGGGCAGTACCATAATGCCCGAGCAATGTAAACATTGCCCGATAGTCAATTTTGCCCGTAACAAATATATTAAATTGTCTATTATTGTAAAGCTGAATTTTTATCAATAGGTACTCTTCTATATTCCAATACATTTATACTTAATGTCCACGAGTATAATATTTTTATAGTAGTTTTGATAAAATTGTAGTGTACGGAAAATCGGTATTTTGATTTAGATAGCACTTGGACCAGTATACCTATTATTATATTATGTGCGCTTAGGATTCCAAACGTACACAATGGATGAATAGAAATTGTGAAAATAAAGTCCATACGCGCTGCATCGGTGGAAGGGAAGGGCAGAAGGAGCAGCTGTCCAAGGTTAGGTCGAAACCGACAGTTGCAGGTGTGACAACAGCTTCACAAAAGCCGTGAGCACATACGGCCCGAACACATAATACAGATCATTTTAGCGATAACAAAGACGCAAATGGTGCTCGTGCAGTAACAATATTAAAGCGTTTATAGTACATACTTTATAGCACAACAATGGTGAATTGAGGCACTGCAGGGGCGTAAACTCGGGGATATACGGCGTATACCTACTTCTCTGTTTTTCTGTAGATAGAATAACACATGAAACGCGGGTATACGCGTATGTGAATTCGTTTATTCTATAAAATAATTTGATGAATAAATTTTAGTTTAATAAATAAAATGTCGAACAAATCTTATCGATTTGACGATTTCCATATAGGTAATCAAAAGAGTTGTTAATATTAAAGGTATTCACAGTATTACGGCGAACCCCAAAAGCATAAATCGCCGATTTTTTTTTTTTTTTTTTGATAGACCAAAAGCATAAATTCTATTTGCTCCTTTTTACTTTAGTAGCGCAAAAATATTTTATTTTGAAATCATTAACTATTAAATTAAAATATTCATTTTAATTAAATGTATAGTATTTTCAAAAATACATCAACAGTGATCGATTTCAGTTAAAATTAAGTATTATAGTATCGTATTTTATTGTAAAGAATTACCTACGGTGAAGGTTGATTATTATTTAAGAAAACGTCGCAATCGCATGTGTTGTCTCCGTCTTACACACGTACGAAATAATAAATGTTTTTTCGCCAGTTTATATAGTGTGCTCTTAGTTTTGATACTGGAGTAAATTGGCCTAAAATCAAATTTTTAGCTGAGAACATTATTATCTGTGTTCTTTCGTTGGTTTTTTACGATATTTTAAATTTTAAGTGAATTATAAGCATTTTTAAAAATTTATATTTTCCATACTCACAACTTGCTTAAAATTTAAAATATCGTAAAAAACCAACGAGAGAACAAATAATGTTTTTAACTAAAAGTTTGATTATAGGCCAATTTACTCTAATATCAAAACTAAAAGCACATTATTGAAATTGGTGAACGAAAATTTACCATGTCGTACACTCATACGTGTGTAAAATGGAGACACATATCTGGATGCGAAGTTCTCTTGAGATAACTACACAATATATCTATACAATATAAACATTATAAACTTATACCTAACTTATAAAATACACTTTGTTTTAGTACAATTTATCTGCTTATTTGCACATATGTTTTGTTAAAATGGTATTTATTTTTTTTTGCACTTAAGGGCTACAACCTAATACTTTTCAGTATAGTATAAGACAGTACAACACTGTAATTAGACATTAATATATATTGTACAGCATAGGTATACTGACCATAGAGATATTTATACACATTGTGAGAAAAAGTATTGATTAGCCAAAAAAAAAAATGCGTCACCCCTCCGAGGTCTGCAAGTTTTCGCCATCTTAGATTTTAGATGAAATTTTTTGGTTTTTTAACAACATCTCAAAAACTATTAACTTAACATTAAAATTAGCATTCACAAAAGATTAAAGATCGTAAGATTTTTGACAAGAAAGGGCTCATACGTTTTTAGCGTAAGAGTATAATAAATGAACGACAAAGTCCATCCGCCCGTTATAGAATGTAGTGCTCCGCGCTATAATGACCCGTAGTTATCTATATATAATATGTATGTTGTATACGTATCACGTAGTTGGCAAACGGACCGAAAACCGTAGAATAAGGTATGTATATACATATATGTTTAGTTTCGTGTCATTATACTGTAAATATTTCTGAAATATATTATTATAATAACCTACCTCATTTGGTATTTTTATAACATTGATATAACTTTTTATGCGTTTTATATTCATTATCGGATCTTGGAGGGGTGGTGCAATTTTTTTTGGCTAATCAGGAACTTTTTCCCAAGTTTCAAAGCTTTAGTATTTAATGCAAGGCAAAATCCTCTATTGACTGGGCTATTGCAAAT